AGCAATGTAAATTTGTAGCCCCAACTTTTTCCTTTGGGAAAACATTTTAACCCCTTCTTCAAACTTAGGAAGGTAGCCTACATTACACCCCTCCCTGAAACTTGTAAATTTTAATCAACACAAAGATTCTATGAAATATTTGTGTAGCTAATGGAACTAAAAAATCCATTTTGATTTCTCTATGAACTATTAAGTTTTGGTAAGTAAATGCATCAAGGGTCTAACGGAAAATGTCTCTCTTGGGTTTGTTGTTGTTGACAAAGATTTCATGCACACAGATTTTTTTTACACATAAACATGCTTATGACTTTTAAAATTTCAAAAAGTAACTTTGTCATCTTCATCTGTCATCTTGTGCATAAAATACTACTAGTGGCTGCAATTACAAGAGTGCACAATTATCATTAATCCTTCTCATTGATGGTTTAGTCCATAAATAAACACTTCGCCTCTTCTCACTTTGGCCTTCATTGCCTCATATTGGAGCTATATGCTGGGAGGCTGCATAAATCGTTGTCTTTATGTCATATTAACACATGTTTTCAATTGTAGAGTTTGTGATAGGGATCCTTAGAGACTAAATATTGAGAATTGGATTAGACCCGGAACGGTGAAAGCTTTTGTTCTTTACATACAATTCATGGTCCATCTTAAAAGCCACTTTATCTACAAATAAAAACCTTTTTTATCACAGGAAAGGGTTTCGGGAGTTATTTCTGGCATGGGAGAGACAGCACTACTACTCGTGAACTAAATCCAAAGGTTTTGGTTCACATCTTGTACTTGTATTCATCTGGATGAACTCAATTTTCCTTTATGAGTATCACATTTTTTCTTCCTTGACGATATGAATACTACTTCCCCACTCACCCTAAAGTTCTTTTAAAACTGTGCTTATGAGAGAAAAAACAAAACAAACACAAGATGAATTGCCTTTGTAAGGCTTCATTTATCAAAATGGCCAATTGATATCCCTTTGTTCCTTGTCTACTGGGATTATCAGACACTCTCTTCTGGTTTGGACGATTATCCACGTGCTTCTCATCCAGATGAAGACGAACGACATCTGGACCTTAGATGCTGGATGTTTCTTGCAGCAGATTGCATGCATTCCATTACGAAGCTTCTCAAGAGGGAAAGTAAACACCAGGTGAACAATTAAGAGTGGTTTTGGGGGTAGAATATTGAAAATTCGTTAAGTTATGGAGAGGGGGAAGGGGGAGTCTTGAAAATTTATGTTTGTAATGGACCAAGTCCTATGATGAGCTTGTGCAGGACTATGGCTTGACAGCAAAACTGCTTTCAGACTTTGAGCTTCTTAATAAGGTATCATACTCTTTTTCTATTTTCTCCAATTGAATTGTCCGTCCATGAGGGTTTCTTATCACTATAATTTTTGTACACCTACTAAGTAAGATCTATTTATCTTATATATCAGTTTAAATCTGGTTACGTTTTGCTCTGCAGATGCATTTTGATAGTTCCTCTGCAGCTTATTTTGATTATGGAAATCACACCGAGAAGGTACATTGTTGATACATTGTATATTGGGGATACTAGAACATTTCTCACTCTTCCACGTGGCCCCGTCACTCAATCATGCCCAACATACATCCAAATATCCCTTTCCCTAATGGTTGCCCACCAAATTTCTATCAACTCATCTCTCCCACTTTTTATCACACAACTTGTTTCTTTCCCATTTCACTTCACAAAGGATGCCTATTTTGTTGACCATGGCATTCCTGTGACCAGTGTATTACTTTTTCTTCCATAATTTTTATCTTACTCATTTTTTGTTATTTTCTTACCCTTCTCTCCCGTCATGCTCATGTCCAATGACCAGTTGACCACTGCTGGGTACACACCAAGTTATTTACACTTTATTGTGAGAGTTAGTGTTATCTTGTTTGTCAAGGTTAATGAGTTGTGTTTCGAATATCAATATGAAAAGGTCAGTTTTAATTTGTATTTGTGCCTCCTGGAGGCCCCACAGCTACTACGTATGGTGTAGTGAGGGTAAGCAAAGTTAATATATGCCGTTCTTAATCATCTTTCTGATTTGTAGGTTCGGTTATCTTGGCAAATAGTTGGGTCAGGCAGCAACCATCCAAACAGAGAGCTTTTAAGGGAAGTCTTAGATAAGCCTGTCTTAAAACTGGTTCCTCATGCTGGATATGTCAGCCTTTTCCCATTAATGGCCAAACTCATCCCTCCAGTAAATTTATCCTCTCTAATATTCTGTTCAACTACAGCTTTTATGGCCACTCCATCCATTTCTAAATAAGCATTGCTTTGGTATTTTTTTTCTTTGTTTCTAAGTTTCATTTTAGGAATTTCATAAATCATTACTTGATTTCATTCCACATTTTTTCCATTTTCACTTTGTTTAATTCTGAAAATTTACGAGATTTTAAGTTTTATAGAAAGGAGAAAGTTTCTATTCATTTTAATCTTGTCTAGAATTGAGTAATCTTTAATTTGATTCATGATTTATGCACAAAGTTAAAGTGCAAAGCTTATTCAGAAACAGATGGAGTACTTAGTCCTACGGTTTGGTTCATCTGTGTGGATTAATTTGTTGTCTTGCACATAGGGGTCATGGATATTAGAGAAACAGCTAGACCTGATTTCAAATAAGAGTACTTTGTGGACAGATTTTGGTCTCAGATCTCTTGCCAAAACAAGGTAGTAGTGTTCTCAACAGAACTTTTTACATCCGGCCTGCATTTCTTTCACATATTATATCAAAATACATTAACGTGTTTTTTCATGTGACAGTTCCATGTATATGAAGCGTAACACAGAGCACGACCCCCCATATTGGAGAGGTGCCATTTGGATGCAATTCAATTACATGACTCTTGGCGCACTTCACCATTACTCCAGAGGTAAACTCCCTTTAGAAGAAAGCAGTTTCAGTTCACTCTTAATCATTTTCCCTTTGTTTCACTTAGAGTCTGTTTGGCATGGGTGAATTCGGTTGAAATGGATGAAGTTGCTAACTTTGAAATTGATGAAGTTGTTGATTTGTCGAAAAAAAGAATATACTATGTATTTCCTCAATAAAGTAAGTAAACTACCCCCTCCGTCCTACTATTTTTGGGACATGAGGGTGCTACTCGAATTACGAGAGCTAAGACTGTGTCGTTGATATTAGTCTTAAAAAATAAGATAAAGTATGAATATGAACTACATAAATATGAGAGGAAATTAGTAGGACAAACAAAAACAAAAATGAAAATTGACAAAAATAGCAGGACAAAGGCCATGTTCTCAACTTATTTTTTTACTTATTACTTATTCTTAGTGGAATCAGATCAGATCAGAACTTATTACAATCATATTAGGTGAGGAGAACATGGCCAAAGGGAATAATATTTTAAAAATTGAGGGTAAAACTCTCATTTTCATTCATTTCAGCAACTTCATCTTAGTTAAATAAGTTTGTGTTTATTCTTTGGTAAACAACAGCAACAAACCCAGTAAAATCCCACAAAAATTAGGGTTTGGGGAGGGTGTGTCTCCCTACTCAGAAGTGTTTGTTAAAATAAAAAAAATAAAAAATTGGCAATGAGGCTTTTAAGCAAATATTCCCATTTAATGTGCTGTATTAACTTCTTTGCTTTTTACGGTAGAGCCTGGACCATACAGAGAGAGAGCCAAAACTATCTATCAAGAACTCAGGAGCAATCTGATAAGGTAATTCCAAGGCTTCCAATTTAAACACACATTGCTATTGTTCCAACTTACTCCGCATTAAATAACACTACCCTATATCTGTTGTGCCAGAAATGTTGTACAAAACTATCACAGAACTGGGTATCTATGGGAACAGTATGATCCGAAGAACGGGAAGGGTAAAGGGGCGCGCTTCACTGGGTGGACCGCTCTTGTGCTTCTCATCATGTCTGAGACTTACAATGAGTGCTAGTCACATGACTTAATTTAATTGGTATTCCTCAATCCAGAGCTCACTCTTCTTTTATAGCATACTCTTAACATATAGAATCAAATATGATGATGATGGTGTGATCTGGTGAAGAGATCAATGTTAAGCATTCATCCTATCAAGAGTAACGCTAGGGATACACCAAATTACACACCAGATTGTACCCAGCATTCATCCGCATTTGTTAATTCACTTTTAAATTTTTACTCCCTCCGTCCCAAAATTATTTTTTGTGTTTGACTTCACACAATTTTTAATAATTATGGGTCTACACAAGAAATTATGTGGGGATGAAAGATATGGGATACAACTTGGAATACAATTTGATACTCCATATGCGGGCCATTTTTTGTGTTTGAAAATAACCAAAGAGCATTCGGATAATGTGGTTGACAACTCAACCAAGTTTTCATTCCATACAAAAAAACGAGTCTCATCTCTGAGGGTTTCCTCAGACCTGGTCGGACGTCGGACGTTGACTGAGAAGAGGTAAATTAGACTTTGATCACAGATTGATGACAAAGAGTGAGCTTGTGCCTGGTACTTGCAGAGGTCTATTCTTAACGTAGTTACCTCGCAATGCAATTGTCAGAAATCAAACTCGAGAAATACCCTTGGCAAAGTTTTCATTTCACTAAAAACGAAGACGTGCTTGTTCGGTCTCATTGACTTTTTTGGCTTAGGATAGTTCATGCCTTTTAAAATTATGGTTTTAGTTTGACCTCTTAGTTATTTTAACCATAAATTGTAAGTAGAAAAACTAAAGTAGTACTAAAACATTGAAAATATATTAAAATAAAACTTCCTTGTTTTTATTCTCGAAATAGGACTTAAAATGTATTTACATTACCAACCATGGTTATGTACTCTACCAAAAAGTATAGTAATGTGCACATGTACAATGCCACATTACAACTACATTACTACAATGTAAAGTTCTATTTCGAAAAAAACATGAAAGTTTTATTTTGGTACTTTTCATTATGTTTTAGTTCTATTTAGGGTGATTTCTATAAAATGTACCCGAAAATAGAATATAGTAACTATTATGGTGTAATCATAATTTAATATTATTAAATTTATTATAAAATATAGTTTTAATATGCCAATTTTCTATTAGATTTATTTATTTAATACTATATAGAGTATTTAAATTGTGATCAAATATACCATAAAAGTTAAACTAAAATGATAACTTTTAGAATGGGTAAGTATATAGTAATTAATTACTTTATTTAAATATTGGTTATACACACACACACACATATTATTTCTTAATTTCACACAAATATTGGTTATACACACACACACACATATTTGTTGGGAATCTTTTGCTATTGTTTGTACTTGTTGCTTGTACTTGGTGCTTTATCTGTGCTATACTGTGTTCTCTTCCATATTTTTGTGCAGGTGGAGCCGGGGGTCTCTTGGAAACAGCCTCCCTACTTCCGAGTAGGGGCAAGGTCTGCGTACACACACCCTCCCCAGACCCTACTGTTGTGGGATTCAACTGGGTTGTTGTTGTTGTTTGTTTGTATATAAAATAAATTAAAAATCACTTTAATCAAATATTGTAATGCATAATAAGGTGAAAATTTATGAACAGAAGAATAGATAAATACTACTCCCTCTGTCCCAGATTATAATGCTTGTTTACTATTCACGGGGTCAAATTTTATTCACTTTCTTTCTCTATTTTCATTAGCAATTTGATAAAATAAAATATTATTGTCACTACTAGTTTTGTAGATCTTTTGATGTAGTTTTTTAATATGTAATTTTTATTTTTTAATTTTATACCATTTGTCATATAAAATGGTTTGAAAATAATTTCAGTCAAACATCGTAAACCGAAACAGACGTTATAAAATGGGACGGAGGTAGTATATCATTCCATAATCCATACTAACTGTCTGTTAAACTATTTTGAAATATTAAAATGAATAAATGTAAACGCAAAGTATGTCTAAACTTTAAATTTATTCATTTATTAATGTATCAAAAAAGTTGAACACTTAGGTTATATTCTCTTTAATTTATTATTTTATTTTTCACTTAGTACTTATTTTTATTGAAATCAGATCAGATTTAAATATAATTATATTTAGATAAAACCAGATCAAAATTTATTTCAATCAGATCACAACCAATCAAATCGGGTGAAGAAAACATGACCTTATTCTCAACTTATTTCTATTAAAATCAGATCAGAAACAGCTTTAAATATATTTTCAATCAGATCTGACAAAATCAAATCAAACCAGAATATATTCCAATGAAATTAAAACTATTCAGATCAGATGGAGAAAAAAGGCTAAGAATAGAATAATTTTATACTACCTCCGTCCCAGAGTATTTGTCCAGTTTGACTTTTTCGAGTCAAACTGGACAAACTTTGAACTCCAATTACTCTCAACTTGTATTACATATTAGTATAATGAAATACAATTTTAAAAGTTCTCAATACGATAAATCCAATTTTAAAATCAAATACTCTGGGAGTAAAGAATTGAGGAGGATGGAGGTGGAATTTTGGAAATAAAATGAGCTGTCTGTCTCATTAATTATGGACAGCGCCCGGCCAATTTAAAACTATTTCCTGCCATGACGCCTCCCGTTATTATGTCCGTTGCGTCCCCTCTCATTCCTCTCCACTAACTGACACCCAACCCAATCTCTCTCTCTCTCTCTCTTTCTCTCTCTAGCCAAAAAATGGAGAAAATCAGACTCAACATTTGCCTTATCCTCTTCTCCCTCCTCCTAACCCTCGCCGCCGCCGCACTCGGAGGCGGCGGAAAAGTGGGCGGGAGGAAGGAGATAAAGGACGTTGAGAATAACAAGGAGATTCAGAATCTAGGGCTCTACTGCGTGAAGGCGAAGAACGATCTCCTCAAGAAGGAGACGCCGGGCACGCCGCCTCTGGTCTTCTTCAAAGTCGTCCACGCGGAGGAGCAGGTGGTGGCCGGAATCAAGTACTTCCTCCGCATCTCCGCCGGCGACGGCGACGGCAAAGTCCGGATTTTCGACGCCGAGGTTGTGGTCCAGCCCTGGGCCAAGTCTAAAAAATTAATCTCCTTTGTTCCCTCTGGCCGTTCAAAATAATCATTTTTTTTTCCAAAAAAAATAAAAATAAAACCGCCCCCATATCTCTTTGTGAAATGGGGAGAGCTTGAAGATCTGTTGTGTCACAAATTGTAACACTCGGTGTACAAAATTGATTGCGATTGGTTGAAATTTGTGTCAACCAATCGCAATTGATTAGTACACGGAGACATACTACGAGTTTGTGACACAACAGATCATATAATTGTTGTTTGACATTTGTGTGTGGGTGTGAAAGAGTGTAATGTGTGTAATGTACTCACTCCTATGGAATTATTGCTATTAATTAGCATTCATTTTAATTGAAATAATGCATAGTGATAATTCCATGAAACAAAACCTTGTGGTTTTGAACAAGTGAGGATTAGTGTTGTTGTTGTTGTGACTTTTGATTGTGTTGTTGTAATGTTAAGAATATTTAATGGGATTTATGCTGTTCATTGTATTGATTGACTACTATTCATTGTGATTCTAGAAGAGTGTTAGATTGTTATTAGGACACCTTAATTTTGACACCACTCTTTTTTATAGAGGTTCACAAATTTCATGTTGAGAAGTGGGATTGTTAGTAGAGTGGTGTCAAATTTGAGAAATCTTAATTCTTGATTTCAACTCTTTTTAGAAACATAATTAGGATGGGGATTTTCAGTAGAAATGACAATAGGTCGAGTTTGGATCGGGTAAAGTTTTCATCCTCATCCATCTATTTATTGCTCATTTGTTGTTCCATTCTTTCATATTATGTGGCCAAATTATTATAAAGAAAATATTACTCCATACTCCGTAGTAATAATAAGTACGTAATATGCGGAGTATATTGGTACAAGTATTAATTTAACGAATATATGCAGTGAACGCTTGGATTGAGTGATGAGCGAGAGATATATCCACCCGTATGTAATTTGATTCGTCACCCGTATGTAATTTGATTCGTCACATGATACATCAATCATCCAAATATCAACAATGAATTTTCGAGTTTTCGTTCATATAATCAGATCGAGTAGTTCAGATATCTATGAGTTTAGGATAAGAGATAATCCAAATGCTTCATTTCATTATGTTGATAGGATGCTGATGGCATGGTCACAAGTTGTTGGTGCCTCAAGACCACACAACACAAGTAGCAATAGTTCAATAGAGCTTTGAGCTTTGTAAAACAGTGGTCTTAGTCATTTTTTCTATACTTCATTTGTTCATTATGTAGATATTTTTTCCCCATGTATATTCATATAATTATGAGTTTTGATAACACCATCAAAGTAAATATGACATTTAAATATTCTTGACTTTAAATTCAAATCTAATTTCTGAGCTCCCATATTTAAACATCTAAAAATCCATCCAGGATATTTTTAGGATCATTAAAAAAACAAAAAAAAAATTAAAAAGTCATTTCAGATGTTCTATTGATCGGAGCTGAAATTTTGGATATCTACAACTGGAATATCTGGAATTTCTAGATCAAATATGAAATAGAATCCCTACACAGCGGCCGAACAATCACATGTGAAGAGATAGATTGAGTCATAATCTCAATATAACTAATACAAAGTGAAGTTCTCTTCTGATAATAGCAAAAACCTCATGTCTTGCATTATGGTCTCATAAGAGAATTGTCAAGATTTGAACTCGGATTTACCTTTAACCCCTCATACCAAGCAACATTAGCATTTTCCTTCATATATTCATGATCGCTCTCAACTAAAAAAACTACTCCCCCGTCCCAATTTAAATCGCCTGTTTCGACTTTTGGGCATATTTAAGAAAAATAAAAAATAGAGTTGATTTTTCGAAATTGTCATTACTTTTTAGGAGGGGTGGCAATGAATAAGAAGATAAGGTGAAGAAGAATGACTTATTTTAGGAGTAGTTTAGGTATTTTATTTTTAAAAGTTTACGAAAACAACTAACAGACAACTTATTTTGGGACGGAGAAAAAAGGCAAACAGACAAATTTAAAATGGGACAGAGGGAGTAATTCAAAGTAAACTACTCCCTAGTCAACAATATCTTTACCTTTGAAATGCATATTTTTCTGATACTAGGATCCCTATAAAAAGATAAGATGAAGGACAAGAAAAATAGAGGGAAAGATTATGGTAATAGAATTTTGGCAAGTAGTATATTAGTAAAAGTAAGCAACAAGAACAAATCCATGAAGTCCAAGGTCAAACTTAAACCCAAAAAAAATGCTTCTTTCTTCTATCTGAATTCAGTTCGAAGATATGTCTGGTAATCCAAACATATCTTTCTTCAATTCATCTACTTGCTACTTCTTGGATGATTTCTTTTTAGAAGAAGAGTTGGTAGAGGCAACCTGTGGTTTGGGGTGCTTTTCGGCTTCAAGAGGATCCAGCCAGTTGAGAGGGTGACGGTTGAAGAAGGGCCAGTTTGGAACAGTGATCAGAGATGTGACCACAACGCCGCCGCCATAGATGAGAATCATGGTCTGAAAAGAACCCAACGCATAGCCTACGAACAGTGCCACAAGTGCAGACGACACCAGCAGTATCTGCATCAGTTGCTCCGCTGCCTTTTGCCCTTCCCAATCCATCCTATCTATTCATTCATGCACACAGCAAATACACATTAACATCATACAATCACCTTAGACCATATACACCTCACGCAAACCTAAAATGCCGTAAATGTCAAATCAAACACTAATTCATCTGCAATCCACTACACCAAATCCAAACAATCAAACTCAAAAGAATTTCTCACGGTATATCTTACATCTTATATTTCGAAAGTTACAAAAAAAAAAAGTAAAACAGTTAGAGCCACAAAAACATTACTAAATGGCTATATGCTGCAAAAAAAAAGTAGGGAAAAAAATGAAGTACTACATACTACAATGCATATTTGCGTTTGAAGTGGAAAGAAGGGTTACAAAAACTCATTTTGGGATGAGATATGAAGCACCACTGGAGTAATGGACAACACCAAAACTGAGGATTTGCCGCACAAATGGAGATGGTCTTAGTATGGGTATGTGTGAGAGTGAGTGTGTTTCAAGACATAAAAGGGAAAAGAGATCTTCATGTCAATCCTTCCTAACAGATTTGCTCGGAAAAAATCGACATCCACCATCAGATTGCCTTGGATTACGTATATTATGCAATTGGGCGGAAGATGTCAATCCATACCCAACATGTCACGAAGGCCTAACATGAAGATTTCTCTCTATATCAACAACCCAGTAAAATCCCACAAGAGTAGGGTATGGAGAGGGAGTGTTTGCTCAAACCTTACCCATACTAAGAAGTAGAAAGACTGTTTCCAAGAGACTCCCGACTAAAACACAATCGCACATAAAAGATTTCTCTATATATCATTAGGTAAAAATTTAAAATGTTTCAAACCTGGTAGCGCGTTTAATTGTTTAAAGAATAGTTATAAGTCAACCCAATCAAGGTACACAAGACTTGTAAAGTTATGAGATCTTGTACCCTTTAAGCAAAACCTATTTCCAATTTCGTATGTAAAGGTATGGATTGATTTTATGTAGGAATTCTTAAAGACTATTTCAAATCATAATGGAAGTAAAAGATTTAGCAATCAACTCATCTACTGTACTCTATAATCTTGGCCTATTAAAGGGAATACCACGAGATTGGAGACTTCCTTATTTCCTTTCATTGAGGGCGCACAATGTGTTCATCTCTAGAACCAAAAAAATGACTTTCTGAAAATAAATTATTGACTTTAACTCACAAAAAAAATACTGTAACAAAAAGAATAAAAATAAAAACAAAACAACGAAGAAATATAACAAACTAAGAAGCAATTTTGTGGTTGCAGATAATAAAATTTAACCTATTGTAAATTCATCTCTGCCCAAACATTGAAGGGGTGAAATCAGCTTGTGCCTCACACTCTATAAAGTATAAAATATAAATTGAACTATATATGTTAACACCTTTTTTCACTAAGCAATCCAGAGCTGTAATAAAATTTCAATTTCCTTGTGCAATAAAATTAAAAATGTAATACAATAGATTATATAACTAATTAAATTACATTGGGAGCATATTTCAATGTCATAGATACTCTTGAAATTTTAAAAATCTAACAAATAACAAAGATTTGAAAACAAAAACAAATTAAAACATAAAATCGCAACAAAAATATCGCAAATTCGCAATTTCTACACTGAAACGTGAAAATGAGATCTGTGGAGTGGCGTTCCATTCACAAGTTGTTAAACATAAACTAGGTCTAGTATACGATCTGTAGATTGTTGTCTCATATTCGGTGCTTTTTTACCACAGATCTAAACATCCATTGATGGGGAAAAAACTTAAAAAGTGCTTCTGATACCTGGATAATTCAAACAAGCCCTAACCTTATGAAATACGATTAATAGGTTCGAAGGTTTAAGCAACGAAGATTGAAGATCGAAGGTAGAAAAAGAAGTACCTGAATCTATGGAAGCAGCACGATGAAACTGTAGAGAATGAAGGCAAAGCTTATTGACCAGTGTGGGGGGAGATAATGGGATGTTTATATGGATTATTACTGCCTCCTTACCCGTATGATATTTGACTTTTGATAAAATAAAATATGAGCATACTATGGATACAATAAAATGGGTACCATTTATCATTTGTGTATCAAATAAATACAGACAAATGAGATATCTCATTTTAATGTATCCGTAGATTTATATTTAATTTGTCTGTACAAGATAAATACAGACAAATGAGATACCTCATTTTGTATAATAGTTTTTGTTTCTATATCAATTTATAGATGACATCATTTTAAAAAATACCCCTTTCCATCACTCGTATATATTCTTATTACATGTTACGATGATCGAATCTATTTTCAATTCAGTTTATTTGATTGAATGTGTAAAATATAAATATAAAATCTATATTGTTAAATCTACATAAAAAGTTTTACTTTGTACAAAACAATATGTGATAAGATTGAACTCCTTTGTCCTAAAGTAGATGTCACTGTCATTATTAAAATTTCTCGATAATTTTTGTTTGTTTGTATTTCTTCATTGATTATTTCATAAAATAATATATTTTTGCTACCTCTTGTTTTGTAAATTTTTTATTTACTTTTGAACGGTGTTATTTATATTTTTTATTTTTATACCAATTTGAAATCAAATTAATTTTAAAATTGATGGGATTTTGTATGTTAAAATTGATGGGTGGTATCTATTGTGAGTACTCTTCTATCCTTAAAAGATTTATATAATTTGACTTTTTTAGTCAAATTGTGTCATCTTTTAGCAACGAATTAAATATTTCAAAATTATAATTTGAAATAAACCTAATTTTATAAAAATTTGATATTTCAAAATTATAATTTGAAATAAACCTAATTTTATAAAATTTACATTATAATTAAATATATTTTCAAAATATATACTTTGACTAAAAAAGTCAAAGTGTGACAATCTTTAAAAAAGATGAGAATATTTTGTTTATGAAATACTCCGTAAGTAATAAAAATAATCAAACAAAATGAGTTAAGATAAACCTGGTAAAGAGTGTGTGGGATGGTTTATGAAAGATGAAGGGAATATGAATTTTTTGTTAGGCTCGAAGAGTGTGATTGAATATTCAAATTTGACACAAGCGTAATTGTAAATGACCATGTTATTAATTTTTACTTATTATTAGGAAAAAAACCTTATTAGAGAAGACCATTTTGAAAATTTACTTAAAAATATTTTGTAATATTTGGTGAAAAGAACTATTTGTAAAATATTTTTTACTAATTGAGAACTGTTTATAAAATAACTTATAATTAGGAACTAAATATGAAAAATTAGATATAGGCCTTGTTTGGATACTAGCAATTGGCAGTTGGCTGTTTATGTTAGCTGATTTGAATGACTGATTGAGTTAGCTGTTTTGACCAGTTGTTTCCGTTAGCAGTTAAATTTTAAGTGTTTAGCAACTTTAGCTGTTTATAGTTAGCTGTTTGTAAATAAAATTACATAAAAAGTTATGGACATGTGTGTGTATGGACATGATATTTATTTTTCATTTTTTTACATGTAAAAGTTAAATCTTTACTATATGGAATATTAAATTTTAATTTCATTTAATTCATAATAAATTATAAATATAAATTTTTTAATGAATTATAAATATAATTTTATTTTAATTTCATTTTATTTTTTCGTATTTAATTTTTTTAACTTTTATTATTATTTTTTACATATATTATAAAATATCTTTCAACAAAAATGATTTTTAAAAAAATATTTTTCCTAACCGCCAAGTCCAAATGCTACTCACTTTGGCATTTCAGATTTTAGCTTTTTGGATCAAAATACCAAGTGAAAAAGCCATTAGCCAAATAATGGTTTTGGCGGTTCGATTGGTCAAAAAAGCCAAAGTCAGTCAAAGATGTCAAAAGCTATCCCAAATACTATTTTCCAAACACGGCCATAATTTAGAACTGTTTATGAAATTCACTCTGCTAAATGCTATGTCTAGTCTGTTTGGAAGTACATCTCTACAGATACTCCTTTTTAGCTTTATCATATTGGCATATTGGTGTTGTTGAAATACTAATTCAGAGCTATAAGCATTATTATCGTATTGTATGTCAAAATGACATCAAAATATAAATCAATGTAAACCTACATTTTTAATACTCAATTTAACACCGCAACAAAAAATTAAATAAAAATTATCCATGAAAAAATACCTATAAATAACCACACATGATTTTTTTAAGCAACCGCAAACATGATACTCCCTCCGTCACAAAAAGTCTTTTCTGTTTCAATTTTTGCGCATCCCATAAAACACTTCTATCACGCCTTGAATGCCAAAAAAAACTTTCAATATAAGTTCTACCCACAATAAAGAAGAAATGTTGTAAATTTTAGGCATTTTAGATGTCGGTAGAATTGTTTTACAGGATGCGCAAAAAATAAAACAGAAAAGACTTTTTGGGACGGAGGGAATATTTAATAGTACTCCGTAAAAGATTAAATATAAAAACCCTTGTTACAAAGAACTAATTATATAATTTACTTTATTTCTTTTGTAAAATGTTGAAAACGAAGTCTTTTTTAATGATTTACCAACGTGGCTTGTGGAGTCCAGGTTGGGGGGTAGGGATTTGGGGTTGTTTGAAGAGTAGTAACTACTTCAATGCCAAACAAAACACCATTCTCATTTTGCAAAAAGAAAACAGTCTAGATGAAGAAACATCATTCCAAAAACATGCTGAATAAATGCATTCTCTCTAGCACAAACATCATTCCCAAGGAACCATATCTTAAAAGCAGTCATGACAAAAACACAAAAAAAACATGGAAGAGCAATGCTTATGCCTTCCTAGGTTTGGTGGCAGCAATTTGTGACTCAGGCTGCAAAAGGTTAAAAAAAGAAAAAAGTGAGAATGGGTATAAATATATACGGAGTACATCATAAAAAGAAACCAATCTGCCGAAAATTTACGAAATTATTTTGAACTTGCCTCCTTTTTCACAGGCTCTTCCTTTTCAGACAAGATTAACTCAATATGGCATGGGGAAGACATATAAGCTGCAAAGGAATGTATGATAGATCAGCAATTCCCATAAGTAAAAGGAGAAAAGCAGTCCCCAAAAAAATGTAAAGGTGGCATAAGAATACCAAGTCATATAAAAAGCGTAATGCTTAGGAAGTGGCTTTTTGGATATATGGTCTATCCTTTGTATCTGTTGGCTCTGTCTTGTGAAAAATCTATGCACATTTTATATTTTAGTTCAAATTGTTACTATTATAATCCTTTCGTGAGAGCTCTTAATTAAAATGACTCTTCTTCCCAAGAACAATTTTCCATATTCTTTAGGACAAAATTTTCCATATTCTTTGGGACAAAATTTTCCATATTCTTTGGGACAAAAAATTAAGGAAATGAATCTATGCAGTAAACATTTACTAAAATAAAATAAAAATGAGAGGCTTGCATTGGAAGCACCCAGAAATGTAGTACGGAGTATAAAATTTATGCACAGGGAGAGTAATTGATCCATTTAAAGTAATCATGCATAAAACAAAATATTACTTTATCTGACAAATGCACTTATTCAGCATGTGTTATTTGGTCCATATATATAAGAAGAAAGCAATGGGAAATAAAATGGAGTATTAAAATTGAAAAATAAAGTGTGTCAAACATACGGTTAATTCGCCCGTGAGCACGGTATGTACGACGTCTTTGTTTCTGAGCTTGGTTCACCTGAATGTGAGAGATGTAGAGAGAATCCACATCAAGCCCTTTGACCTGCAAGGAAATTTTAAAAGTGAGTAAAGAGATCCAAAAGACTTCAATGAATTATTGTGGTTGGATCATTTGATGGGCACGCACCTCAGCATTGCTTTCAGCATTTTTAAGCAAATCAAGAATGAACTTGGCAGATTTCACAGGCCACCGTCCCTGTCCATTTGGGTGTCTGTTCTTAGCCTGAGCAGTCCTACCAACCCCTCTGCAGAAACGGGTGAAAGGAATAGCCTGTTTGTGAGCCAAAACATCTTCAAGATACCTCTTAGCCTTTTGTAGAGGAAGCTTCCTGATAGCATGTGCTGTTTCCCTAGTGTTCTGTGATGGAAAATTTTCATCAGATAACACACATTATATTATTTACATGATATAAAAACAAGCAAAAAATCTAGTATTTAGGGGGAAGACGAATAACAGAATATATAAAATACAGAATAGAAACAGTTGAGTACTATGCTTGCCCTAGAAAATATAAAGAAGATGATTGTTGAAATGTTTTAACAAAGGATGAAACACAACTGCCCATCTTCCTCATATATACTTTTGCAGAGAACACTTTTGGTCATGTGCACGATTCATCTTAACACAACCAATACACACAATTTCTGCATAAAAAATTGTTGTGACAAACAATGGATGCACAATAGAACATCAGAAGTACAAAAGTTGATTTCTAGGTTGCTCCTTAAAATGAAATAGCAAAGTAGAAAGACAATGGAAGGCGAGGACAAGACAATCGACACAATGAATGTAGGGAAGATGATTGTTGAAAGATTTTAACCAATGACAAAACACAACTGCCCATCTTCCCAAAGTTCAGTTTTGCAGAGAAAACTCATGAGTCATGAAAAGTGTGTTGAATATGACACACAATCAATACAATCTCTGCTTAGACCACATACATTTAATATAACAAGAACCCACTGTAACACAACATTTAATAAAATGCCCAAGTGTTACCTCCATCCCTTTGCCATATTTTATTATTGACTGGCACATTTCTCTATGAATCAATTACTTTATCTCTTCAAAAAATTACCCTCGTGAAGTGTGATGAAGAATATTTGATGTTGGTAGGTAAGAAAGTAAATTTAAACACAAATGTACAAGCATACCTTGAACTTACAAGAGAAGGAAGATTTTATTTAAAGGTGGACAATAAAGAAAAATAGAACATTGTTTAGGGAAATAATGAGAAAGATATTCAATAAATTTATTCAAGTATTGATAAATTGATTCAAAAATCTATATGAAGGGAAGAGTAAAAAAACATAGAGCTTCATTACAATTGAAGAAACATTGTAAAAAAATCACCCTAATGTAGCATCATTTATTGAACCACCTATCCTAGTTCACAAAGCACTCCAGAGGTTCACCCAATAATGATGCAAATCTATATCCCTGATTTCTACGAGAGACCTATTCACGAAAAAACAATAGGTCCCTGCTTTTAATCAGGTAACAGTACAAACAAAACAAATGTAGGGGGAAATGATTGTTGAAAGGTTTTACCCGAGAATAAAACAGAGCTTCCTATTGTGTTTAGACATTTGAGTTAATATAGCTCATAAGGATGAGCTAATATATCCCAAAACAAAAAAAAGCACTAGACATTTGAGTAAAACACCTAGTTCACAAACAGATACCTCATGAACATTAGAGAAAGGACTGCAAATATCACCCGATACAAAATATAGCACCATTTATTGAACCATCTATCCTAGTCCACAAAGCACTCCAGAGGTTCACCCAATAATGGTGCAAACTTGTTGTCCCTGATATCTACGAGAGGCCTATTCACAGTTTGACAATAGGCCCCTGCTTTTAATCAGGTATTCATAATTCCATGCCACAAACAGATCAAATGAACTAAGAGCATAGCACATGAATGCTTAAAAATACGATAAAACCCTAATAAAACCCCGGAAGGAAATCAAAGAAGCTGCCTTTTATCTAAACATCCACAAATATTTACTGGACCAGCACGTAGATCCGCATAATCAATGTACATCGTCAAAAGGGAACCGGGTACAAGTGAGAAGCAAAATGATACCTTGAAATGAACTCTGAGATCTGACCCCCTGGCTTTGCAGGCTGCAATTCGATGAACGTCAATACATAATGAGAAATCGGACAAGAATATGAACAGATCATGAATGTAAATCTATCGAGATGGAGAGAGAGATTGGGGTGTAAGAGAGCATACATTTGGTGGGATTATCGGGCTCTCTGGAATACTTCACCATGGCGCCGGCTGCTTCTACGGGAGGGGAGAGATTGCTGATGTCTTGCCTCCCTCTGTATCAAACCCTAGCGGCGCAGTCCTACTTATATACACTTGCTCTAGTTATCTAAGCTTATATAAGGTCCAACGGGTTATCCTTATTTTCGAATAAGTGAATATTAGTTCTCGAATAATTAAATAATCATTTCTTTAAAATTTAGTTATGTTTAAATTTAAACATTTAGTTACTTAAAAATGAATACTCTCTTATTTGAAAATGAATACTTAGTTATTCGACAATGGGTATATATGTAGATGTACGGGAAGTGCCGTATATCTAGATGTATGATTTAGGTACTCTTGCTTAATGCTCCCTCCGAAAAGGTTTGATCTTTGATGGGGCATTAGGGTATTACTCCAAAAAATCTCAAAAATAAATTTATTGTGCATTTGGAAATTTCAATTTGAGTTTAGAGTTACTTCATTAAATTCTTTTTTGATATCAGTGCACTATGGTCTATAATACGAACATGAACATTAGGCCTAAATATTTTCCTTAATGGTTTAAAACTCAAATTTGATCCTTGGAAGTACAAAGTGTTTGGTTTGGGAGAAATATTTTTCTACAAAAATATTTTCCAAAGGTAAATGATTTCCAAAAAAATTATTATTCAATCATATTTTTTTATTTGGAAGAAGAAAACAGATTCTTAAAAATTAAGTTTCTATTATTAATATTTAAAAAATAATATTGAAAAAAGATATGTTGAGATGATTTAAAATTCTAATAATATTTTGGTAGAATATGGGCGACGCATGGTGAACAGGGGATGAAGCTAGAGGTGATTTGACGGGGTTCATGGGCGAGTGGCAAGTTAACGACAATGGGTGGGGAAAGGGAGTTGGGGTGGGAGTTAGGGGTGGGCGCGGTCCGTGACGGTCTATGATATCACCGAAACCTATCACGGACCGCTCTTATTTAAACGGTTCGGTATCGGTATGGTATGAACCCTTAAACCATTCGGTACCATTCCGTTTCGAAATGGAACGGTACAATACCATAACCATGTTCAAACCGTGCCAAAAAATGAACATGCATCACTAAAAAATATTAAAATAAAAACGTAATTTTGTATACAAAAGTACAACTTTGTTAAATATAAGTATTGACTTCGAATTTAAAAGGATCTTAACATAAAAAATAAACGATGACGAGTTTAATTTTTTAAAATAGATTTTTTTTCAATTCATACAATACCAGACTATTAATAACTCTAAAAAAATACTGATAATAGTAGTTTTAAATATAATTTCAACAATATTAATGAAAGAATTTTAAAAATAAATATTATCATACAAAGTACTTTATATACAGTAAGATAAAGTAGACAAATAATTATTTGAGATACTCCTTATATAGCTTTGAATGGTTTGGTCCGTGATAATCGGTTTTAAATATTTGTATCACGATCTCATTCTGTATGATATCAGTTCGGTTTTGGATTGTGATGAAAAAAATCAATCCTGATGGTGTAAATTACCACGCAAATACTAAGTATGAGTAATCGAAAGGGTTGTAAGTGGAAACACCTGAAACCCGAATTGTTATTAATGATAATAGGAGTTATTACAAATACAAGCCGTGCAGGTTAATTAAAGCATGCCTCACAAATGAGGCTTTTAGGGGTATTTATAATAATCCTAAGCACGTCAAGCACGTCTCTGATTATCCAACCGGTCAGGCGGCTGACCGGCCCACCAGGTGTCTGGTCTCCCCATCCAACCGGTCAAATAACCCGGGCTGAGAAAGGCGCGTGCTGTTACTTCCATCACCACCCAGTCCGGTGAACCAACCGGGTGGTATCATTGGGTTATTACCCATCAAGGAGTCCTCCGATTCCCGGTCCTGTGGAGACCATCAGGGGCGGGAAGCACATGCGATCATTTCCTGGAATTTGAACTGCCCAGTCGCTTTTTGGCGGGAAAATCGTCTCGGAAAACCAGCGCCAACCCAAAATATTTGAAATTTGAAATTTGAATTTTGCAATTTCAAAAACCGGGTGTCCAAAGCGAGAGAATCTTCTCGAAGTGGGGTACGGAGCCGCCGATTTATTGTGCCGTTTCGTCTCCCCGAGAAGTTATGATGGCAAATCATTTCAGCTGCCACGTGTCATTCTTTTGTTTGTCCGTTTAGGCGGCCTCTCTCCTATATAAAGCGATGTCCTCCCTAGGATTTCTTCACTTGCAAATCTTCGATTTAAAAAACCGCCTAGCTGCTTCTACTACTTCCGAGTCCTCCGAGTCCTCTTATTCCAAGTAAGTCTCTTTCTTTCCTCTTCCTCGAGTCATGTCTGACCACGAAGACAGCCAGAACCCTTCCGCCCATTCTTACGGTTCTTGTGACCGGGCTCAGACCTCCGGTTCCTCCTCTTCTTCATCCTCTGATTCTGAGCGCCCGGCTACTTCTCCACAGAAGAAGCCGGTTGATGCTTCCACTTGTGCTCCTTTTTCTTCCGTGGCGCAAGTGATCTCGGTTGCCCAACCTGGGGATGAGGGCTTCGTTCTGCTGGACGACCGGTTGCTCCAAACGCAATCGTCGGTCATGCAGAAGGCCCAAGTCCACGAGGTGCGCAACCTGATGCCGGATGGGTACCAATTAACTTACCGGGCAACGTGGAAGAGCATTATTCCTCTCCACGCCGGTACGTCGATTGGTATCCATTACCACTCAATCAAGGACCTGGGCGAATTCTCCATTCATCCATTCAAAGTCCTTTTCCTTGAAACATACGGTATCATGCCCGGGTAGCTGGCCCCTAATGGTCACCGTTTGTTGGGCAGCTTCATCAATGTCTGCCGGTTCCTTCGTATTCCTCTTTCCCTTCGTCTCTTTGACCATATGTTTGATGTCCGGCCCGGGTCCAAGGAGACCCTTGGATTCGTGGTGGTGTCTTCTCACCAAGGCAGGGCATTTCTCTGTGGCCTTCCTCCCTCCAACAAGAGGTGGAAGGACAAATACGTCTGCATCAAATTACCCCCGGCTGCCTTTCCTTTTGCCCAAAATGTCTGGGGGAAAAGAATGAAGCGCCAGGTCAAACCAACAGAGGCCGATGACCTGGTTGCCTGGGAAACCACTCTCCGGGCCGGGGATGCCTCCACCCGCGGTCTTTACCATGTCGGGAAGTGGAGCGTCTACCCCGGCCGGGAGACTGACCCTGAGTCGGAGATTGTCCTGACTGGGGTGATCCCCGAAGCTATCCCCATCAGCCGGGCGAGGGGATCCAAAGCCCTGGCCACAGCCACCGCCGGTCCTTCACGCCCGGCGAAGAAGAAGAAGGAGAAAGGTCAATCAACTACCCTTATTTTCCTTTCATTTTTTCTTTTTTATATCGCTGTTCTTCTAACCGGTTTCTTTTCTTGCAGTGGTGAAATTCCAGTCGAAATTTGCCACCCCAAAAATCGTCGTTGAGGAGCCCTCCACCGCCCAGCTTCTCAGCCAACCTTCGGTCCAACCAGTCTCTTTGGACGAGCAGTCGGCCCAGTCTCAACAGGGGACCAGCCAGCCCATCCACTCCGGGGAACTCTACATCAATGTAGATACCCTGGAGTTCGACCAGCTGATGGAGGCTGGTCAAGCAAACCAGCTGGCCGAGGGAGGCCACGACGAAGAGGAGGCTGCTGAAGAGTCCCTTAAAAGGAAGAGGCGGAAGACTGAAGTAGTCGACCAGCCGGCTCATCAAGCGGCCTAGTCCTCCGATGCCGGCAAAAGGCAAAGCCAGCCCCGGTCTATGGCTCTAATGTCTAGATCGGACGAAGAGCTCCTCCAAGCGTTCCACGCCGACCTGACTGAGGTAATCCCCCTTTCTCCCTTCTTACCGCCCTCTTATTGCTTCTGATACCCTCCTGAAAAACTTTTCATGTCTTTGAAGCAGGTCGGTCGGATTGGTGAGGAGTACCTCACCCGGCTGGTGAAGTCAAGGGACGAGGAAAAGGCCCGGATGGAGGCCATGATGGTCGAATGCCGGAAGGAGGCTAAGGCCGCTTTTGAGAAGGCGGCGAAGGCGGAGGAGAAGCTGATAGACCACTGTGCGGTCTACCGTCAGCTGTATGCGAAGCATGACGGTCTCCTCAAGGCCGCGAAGGAGGCCGATGAGCAAGCTCAAACAAAGATCCAACAGCTTGAGGCCGAGAACGCCCGGTCGGCTGAGGAAATTGCCCAGCTCGGAGACGAGCTGGAGAAAGAGCGCTCGGAAAGGGCTCCTCTTGCTGCTGCCTGGGCTGTTCAAGCGCCTGAGGAGTTTGCTGCCCAAGCACTTCTTGAACGGGAGACTACCATCCGCTTCTTCCAAGGTTTATACAAGCACGAAGTCTCGGCCGGGATCATCGACGAGATCGGAACCTACGGTTTCGAAAGCGGTCAGTACGATGAACGGCAGGCTCTATATGGTATCCTTGAGCAGCGGATTCAAGGTTTTCAGCCCAAGGCTCTTTCTCTGCCTGAGCTGCATGATGAGGCACCGGTCGCGCCTTTCCTGGGCATCTGATTTCCCAACCTTTTTTACTTTCTCTTTTTTTGTTTACTTCCCATGTGTAATGATCTGCCTCCGGGCACTTTTGTAAGACGCTTAAATATTAATGCAAGTGTTTTCTCCTATATTCTCTTCAACTTAAGATTTTTAACCGTTTAGATTAGTAAATAACAGCCCGGCCGCATTTACCCGGTTTAAAATACAATTTTACCCAAGGCTTTTCGAAAGGCTGAGTGGTCGACCGGGAAGACTTTGAGTTTCATTAATTTTCTTCCGGTCGGTTAATAACCCGCAATGGCGTATCGAGTATTTGCCCGGGCGCTTGTAAGGCCGGCACCTTTTCACAATGGCTTAAAGCCCTTGTGAAAAGGTAAACCTCAACTTTTTCTTTAGAACGTCTAACTTAAACTGGCCGGGATGCTCTCCCTTTAGTCAAGCCAAATCGTTTTAACTCCCATGTTAGTACGGATGAGGTGTAGGATCCGTCAGACCGGTCTCTCTCTTTTTTTTGAGATGCCAATTCGATTGGACATCTAACCGGGTAGATCGGTGTGTCAACCAATTACCGGTTGATGTACGAGGACAATCTTTCTGAAAAGAACAAAGTTTTATTAACACCTAGGGAACTCATTACACTTTATCTAAAGAATTTACGTAAGTGATGAGAGTTCCAATGTCGGTCAACCCAGCCACCTTCCATAGTCTCCAGTTGGTAAGTGCCCGGCCGGATGATCGCCTTTATGCGATAGGGTCCTTCCCAATTTCACACCAACTTGCCTCTCTCGTTAGGTTTACTAGCATCCCGTCTGCGCAAGACCTCATCATGCACTTGGAAGTACCGTGGGCCCACCCGGTTGTCGTGATATCTCTTTACCGACTACTGGTAACCGGGCATCTTGACAGCTGCTAGGGTCCTTCGTTCTTCCACCAAATTTAACTCAGCTAGGTGGTCGACCTCGTTCTGACCGGGCTGGTACACGGTTTCTCTAAATGTTGGAATTTCTGCTTCAACTGGCAATCGGGCTTCAAATCCGTAAGTGAGCACAAATGGAGTTTCTCCGGTTGCCCTTCTTGAAGTCACTCTATGCGCCCAGACTGTGTGAGGCAAAGCTTCCAACCATTTATGGCCTTCTTCACCCAACCTCTTCTTTAGGCCGTCCACTATCGTCCGGTTAGCATTTTCAACTTGGCCATTTCCCTGTGGATAAGCTACTGAGGCCTTGCTGTGCTTGATTCCAAAACTAGCCAAGTACTCAGTGAACCGGGGGTTGCGAAACTGCGGACCGTTGTCGGTAACAATCATCTTCGGGGCACCAAACCGGGTGATAATGTTTTTCCAAACAAATTTCTCACACTGCCGCACGGTTATGGTAGCCATCACCTCGGCCTCGACCCATTTAGTGAAGTAATCAATAGCCACTATTACGAACTTCTTTCCGCCTTGGGCGACCGGGAAGGCTCCAATAATGTCAATCCCAAACCGGGCAAATGGTATGACATTAGACGTTGGTTGGTAGTATGTGGCCGGTGTGCCGGGATGTTTGTAAAAAACCTGGCACGTCCTACATCTCTGGACATACCGCTCACAATCCCCAACAATGGTAGGCCAGTAGTAGCCAAGCAATATTATCCTTTGAGCCAGGGTGCGAGACATTTGATGGGCTGCACAAACTCCCTCATGCACTTCAGCTATTACCCGTTCAGCCTCTGGGTTGGTAAGGCAACGTAGGAGAGGTCCACCAATGGCACGTTTGTACAAGTGACCATCAATTACCTGAAAACGGGGAGCCCGCATGACCACCTTCCTGGCCCGTTCCTCGTCATCCGGTTTCTGACCGGTCTCCAAATATTCCATGAGATCGTACCTCCAGTCATCATCTGCTCCGATTATCCCGGTTGCCGAATTCTGGCCCGGTTGGATAGCCGCGACTTCAAACCGATCAGTACTTGATTGATCTAAACTCTCAATTTTAGCCAACTTCGAGACATGCTCCGGGCATGATTGCATTAACTTCGAAAGCATATCAGCGTCTGTGTTCTCCGACCGGGGTATCTTAGTCAGACGAAACACTTCCAATTCCCTCAGAAGTGCTCGGACTAGGTCACCGTACCGGGCCAGACGCTCCTCTTTAACCTCCATCTTGCCATTGATCTGTCCAACTACAAGACTTGAGTCGGAACGAATTCTTATTCTCTTTATTCCGAGTGCCTGGGCTAGTCTGAGGCCTCCGGTCAGTGCCTCATACTCCGCCTCATTGTTGGTAAGCTTGAAGTTGAAAACCAAGGCATGGTAGATTTTGAACCCCTCAGGAGTAGTGAAGACTATGCCGGCTCCGCATCCCTTCGGTCCAGAGGCCCCATCAACGGCCATGTCCCACCACGGTTCGACCGTATGAGAAGGTCCGGCTTCGGGCTCTAGACCGGTCAGTTCGACGAGGAAGTCTCCCAAAGCTTGACCCTTGATTGCGGTCCTCGGTTTATACTCTATTTTGAACTGAGTGAGCATCATCGCCCACTTGATTAATCGCCCTGAGGAGGTTGAATTTCGGAGGACCGGCCCAAGTGGCTGATCGGTTAGTACTTCCACAGTGTGAGCTTGGAAGTACGCGGTCAGTTTTTTGGCCGTAATGAAAAGTGTGTATGCTGTTTTCTCAATGGCAGTGTACCGGCTTTCTACCCCATTAAGTGCTTTGCTCACATAGTAAATTGGCCTCTGGCCGTCTTCATTTCTTATTAAGACAGAGCTTACAGCGTTTTGGGAAATTCCTAGATACAAGTACAAAGTTTCACCCGGTTTGGGTTTGGACAGAACTATATCAGAAACTAAGTACTCTTTCAGCTGCTGGAAAGCTTCCTCGCACTCCCGGTCCCACTCTAATGTGTTAGCCTTCTTCAGAACTTTGAAGAAAGGCAGAGCCCTCTCAGCAGACCGGGAGAGAAAACGGCTCAAAGCTGCCAACCGCCCGGTGAGTCGTTGCACGTCCTTCAGCGAACTGGGCGACCTCATCTCAGTTATGGCTTTAATCTTCTCATGATTAGGCTCAATACCTCGCTTGGTCACCATGAACCCCAGAAACTTACCGGTCTTTACAGCAAAGACGCATTTCTTGGGGTTGAGACGCAAGTTGTACTTAGCCATAATCTCGAAGCAAAGCCTCATATCTGCCGGATGGTTTGCCCCACCCGGGCTCTTGACCAGCATGTCATCTACGTAGGCCTCCATGGACTTACCGAGGAGTGGCTTAAAAAGCCGGTTTACCATCCTCTGATAAGTGGCGCCCGAGTTCTTTAGTCCAAAGGCCATCACCCGGTAGCAATAAGTGCCTTCATGAGTTAAGAAAGAGGTTTTCTCCTCGTCTCCCTCGGCCATGAAGATCTGATGATAGCCTTTGAAGGCATCCATGAAGCTCAGCAACTCACACCCGGCCGTCTCATCGACCATCTGATCGAGACTGGACAGCGGGTATGAATCCATGGGGCACGCCTTGTTCAGATCCATGTAGTCCACGCACATGCGCCAAGTGTCGCCTTTTGGTGCCACGACGACGTTTGCCAACCAGGCCAGGTATTGTACTTCTCTTATGTGCCCGACCGCCAGCAAATCCTTCACTTCTTTCTTTACAAAGTCCCTCCGGACGTTCGCCAAGTGCCTCTTCTTCTGTTTCACAGGCCTGCTCCCTTCCATCATAGCCAAACGATGGCATATGACAGAACGGTCTATGCCCGGCATGTCCGCCACACTCCAAGCGAAAATATCTGCGTATTCCCGAAGGACTGAGATGATTTCCTCTCGAAGTCCCCCGGGCAGATCCCTACCTATTCGCACCATTCTTTCCGGGAAGGCTTCTCGGAGAACGATCTACTCGGTTTCATCACCTGGCTCTAGCTTCGACCGCTCTTCTTCCTGAGAGACCAAAGTAACTCTCTCAAATGCCTTGGTCATTTTCTTTACGGCCTCCAAGTAGCAATGCCGGGCCTTCTTTTGGTCTCCTCTTACTTGTCCGATACCACCCGGGGTATAGAATTTCATGTAGAGGTGGGCCATGGAGATGACTCCACGGACCTTGTTTATTCCAGGCCGGCCTAGGATGGCGTTGTGAACACATTTGATGTTCACTACCACAAACCTCATTTGTTTCTGGACGACCTGGTCTCCTGTGCCCAACTCACAAGTCAGAAGGATTGACCCTTCAGCTTCAACAGAGTCCCCGGTGAACCCGGACAGGGGAGTCTTTAAGGGCTCAAGCCGTGTCCGACACAACTTGAGCTTTTCAAATGCATCCAAGTACAAAACGTTGACACTACTGCCTGTGTCAACGAGTACCCGGGAGACATCGACTCCACCCATATCCATAGTTATGACCAGGGGGTCATTGTGATCTTCTCCGGTGGCGGGGAGGTCCCGGTCAGTAAAGGTGATTGGCTCTCGTCTTGCCTGTTTTGACCGGGGATTTAGGGCCACCGTCCCGACGTAAAGCTCTCGTCCCCATTTATTCCTCTGGGAAGCAGAGTCTCCCCCCTCCGGTCCACCGTATATGACCTGCAAATGCTCTTTACCGGGTGCTTTCTTCTTCTTATTCTGTTCAACCGGCTTTCCTTCAGACCCGATCCATTGGTTTTTCTTTTGTTTGGCCAGAGCTAAATACTCAGGATCGATCTCCCCGGCCTCAATCATCTGCTTAATTACTCCCTTCACACTGTTACACTCCGTAGTGTTATGGGAATCAGTTTTGTGGAAGGAGCAATACTTCTCCGTCCATTGTTTCTCGCCAGTCGGGGTCTTTTCTGATTTGACCGGTTTGACTTCCATGACTTCTGCCTTTGCCCTCCCGGGCTGTTCATTTTCCTTTTTCAAGGAAATTTTTCCTTTGGAATGGCCCTGCTCGGCCTCCCTCTTAGATGACACCTGTGCTTCGGCGTCAGCATAATCCTAGGCCGTGTTGTAGGCCTCTTGGTATGACAGGGAGGTCTCCTGCATAACTCTTTATACAATTCTCCGGACCGGAGTCTGGATACCAGGAGAGACATGGCGGTTTTGTCGTCCATCTCTTCGACTTTATCAACTTCATCCTTCCACCAGGTGAGGAATTTCGTTAAATCCTCGTGCTCCCTCTGCCCGGCCGTGCTCAAGTAGGTGAACTTTTTCCTCTTGGTGCAATTTTCCTTGAATTTCTCCTGGAACACCTCGGCCAGCTCATCGAAAGAATCGATCTCACCGGCCGGTAAGTTATGAAACCACTCAGCGGCTCGGCCGCGGAGGGTTTGGAAAAAAAGTAAACATTTTTCGTCCCCGGAAAGGCCCATCATCCTTCCACTTTGATGAAGGGTCTTGACATGTATTTCCGGGTCCTCCTTCCCAGTAAACTTCGGGACCTCCAACTTTGCTTTCTTTGGAAATGGGGTCTCGTGAACCCGGTCTGTGAACGGAGACTCGTTCAGCAGGATTTTCTTCTTTTCATCCCGATCCACCCGGCGCTGCAATTTTTCCAAACGTGCTTCGACCCGGCCCACACGATCCCGGGGTTGTTCAACATGGGAGCGGATTGTGTGCCTAGGATGGCTTTCCGCTTCTTCTTCTCCATGGGGCACCCGGCTATGTTGGGGCTCTTCGCGATGGGGAGGTTCCGTGCGCCCGGTCCGACCAGGTTGCTCGGCCCCTCTACCCAGGCGATTAAAAGCACTCAACGGGGTTGTCTCCACTGCTAGTCGTTCTTTGGCAGGCCGGTTTTGATTTCTGCCTTCATGGCCAAGCCTTTGAAACGCTGACCTCGTGGACCCTTCGGGTTGAATAGCTTTTCCCTTCAGCTTCTTTTGTGCCTGGGGTACATCCCAATCCTCATCCCTACTATGGACTGATCGCACATCGCCGTCAGGCGTGATCTGCGTGCGCGATCTCCGGGACCGACTCCTTCTGGACCGGGACGGGCCAGCTTTGTCCATCTCTCCGATTAGATTTGTTGGAGCGACTGGGCGGATGATATTGGTTTGGGGCAAGGATTGTGGGTATAACCCGGGAATGAAAGGTGAAAATCCTCCCGGCTGTTGAAACATGGACATGAACTGCCCAAAATTTTGGAATGCCTGTGAAAACAGCGGGTCCATGGGCCTGGGAAAATTTGGAGGAAAAATAGGGATAGAGGTGACGGGGGAAGTGAATGGAGTAGGTGTTGGAATAGAGAACATGGGGTTAGGAATCTGGTTTGAGGGTTGTGTACTCCCTCCCGGGAACGAGGCGACGTTCTCAACGGGAGTAGAGATTTGTGAGATGATGGTTTCCTGATTGCTTGTCATGGCTTTTTGTAATAGGTCCCACGGGTGGCGCTAATTTGATGGTGTAAATTACCACGCAAATACTAAGTATGAGTAATCGGAAGGGTTGTAGGTGGAAACACCTGAAACCTGAATTGTTATTAATGATAATAGGAGTTATTAAAAATACAAGCTGTGCAGGTTTATTAAAGCATGCCTCACAAATGAGGCTTTTAGGGGTATTTATAATAATCCTAAGCACGTCAAGCACGTCTCTGATTATCCAACCGGTCAGGCGGCTGACCGGCCCACCAGGTGTCTGGTCTCCCCATCCAACCGGTCAAATAACCCGGGCTGAGAAAGGCGCGTGCTGTTACTTCCATCACCACCCAGTCCGGTGAACCAACCGGGTGGTATCCTTGGGTTATTACCCATCAAATCCCGTTTAAAAATACTATAAATGGTTCGGTACCATTACAGTCCGGTATGGTACCATGCTGGTTCAGTTTTTTTTGCCCACTCCTAGTGGGAGTGAGGGTGGGACAGTTGAGGGAAATGGGCAGGGTGGGGTAGGCCTGATGGAGGTGGATGAGAGTGGTAGTATATATGGGGTCAAGGTAGGGGTGGCGAGTGGTAGGGTTGGTGGGGTGGGAAGGAAAGGGGTGTGGGGGGACATGGCATGGAGAGAGGGCGATCGCGGGGACGTGACGAAGAGAGAATAAAATTGGTTTCTTAGTTCTTCGAGAAAATATTTTCCATTGAAAATATTTTTTTCACAAATATTACCAAACGTAGAAAAATAGAATTAAATTTTTTATAAAGAATATTTTTCTCCCAACCAAACTCACCCTTAGGTGTTAATCAAATTCTTTTAATTCAAAACAGACTCAATTACATAACCACGCATCCTCATGTCATTTGCAATTTCAAGTTTTTTTAGAGTAATCAGAATCAGAAATGAGAAAAATTCTAGAAAAACATAATCCTAGTTCATCATGTTATATTGGCGGGAGAAGCTAATGAATGAGACATAATATTAGACATGCGGGGAACAAATTGAAAAGAGCACTCAAAAAACAACTCCGTGTGTCTTTTTTGCACTTTAAAATCATAATGAAGAGTTGAGAGCAGTATGACTACACGTGGGCAAGTTAAAAGCTTCTTTGGCGCCAAAACATCCGCCATTAAAGCACTCATACACCGTTGAAAGGGGCTACTCACGCAACCAAGAACATCCGTGTATGCGAGTAGCAGCCCATTCTAAAGACACCTTACAATAAAACAATCATCGTTTCTCATGCAACAATATTTTTATTCATATTTAACCATGCATGACGCTTTTATCTTCGTCTTTGCCAACTTTGAAACTCAAATTCTATAACTGAAAATCTATGATTTTCTAAACAAAATTTTAAATTTGAAATCATGGTATCTCAAATACTTTTTTGTTAGGTATCTCAAATATTGGAATTTGAAATCTAAGTTTTTAAACACTTTATTGACTGGACCTTTCAATAAACGTACCATTTGCATGTGTTTGGAAACACAATGCTTATTGATCACTATTTATATACTAACGTAAACAATTTGTTCGCTTTGTATGATACAGTGAAGTAAAGAACTTTTTGACTATTGATAGAAGATTACACGAGAATTTGAAAAATATGGTAGATGAGCATAATATTTTAGCACAAAATTTTAGAAGAACTAAAGACTTTATAGATAATGAACTCACTTCTAAAGTTACATTGAGGCTATTGAGAAATGGAACTAGAGACTCGAGAAATTATTATATTCTCATAGTAGATAAGTTACTACTCTAATAGTTCAAGATTTTGATTCATCGAATGAAAAAGGATATCATCGTCACAAAAAAGTTGGCATATTATAAAAAAAATACTTAAGACACACACTGCTTTCATACCTCTACAATACAATTTATAGTTTCCTTTTAGGGAGGATGTATATCAAGAAAACATTGCTCTCTGAATCAATATCTGCTTCTCTAAAATCGAATGGAAAGATTGTTTTAAATGTTGCACCCAATGACATTTGAGTCTTAGTATTGCGTGGTGGAAGATTTTCAATCCTTTACTCTAAACATGTGTCATCAAACAAGGAAGCTCAAAAGTAGGATTACTCTAGCAAGCAAGTTTAATCATATAGGATGAAGCATGTAACGCCTCGAAATCTGGCCCAAAAGAATTAATTAAATTGTTAGAGCAATTGATTACGGATTGGCCCAAAAAGGGATTAAAATTATAATTTGGATTCTAAGCCCAACTTTTATGTCATCTCGTAGGAAATATTTTTGTGATCGCGTCGGTTTAGACGGCTCGCGAATCGGAGTTATGGAGCTCATGTTATAACCATTTAATCAGGTATTTTGGGTCCGAAGCCCAATCCTTTTTGGAATGGGACCATTAAATAAACCTAAACCTATTATCTACCACACAAACCTTATCTTCTTCTTCTTTCGTTCTTCTTCTTCTTCCGTCCTTCTTCTTCTTCTTCTTCTTCTTCTTCTTCTTCTTCTTCTTCTTCTCCTTCTTTGTCTTCAACAGCCGCGGTCGTCGCCGTCCAATTGGAGCAGCCAGCCGCCTGTCGTCCTCCCTGCCGTTCGACCATGCCGGCGTCGCGCAAGCCAGAGCCTCCTCGCCGCAGCCAATCGCCGGAAGTCCACCGCTCATCACCGTCGAGCGCGGCCGTCGCCCTTAGCACAGCGGCCATCCTCG